AAAACCAAAAATGTCTGTACGCACGGAATCCTTGCTTCAAGCCCTTTCAAATGAGCCCCATATCGCCCAATCCGGTTCAGTTGTGTAGAAGTAGTACGTGTGACGGGCGGACGGACGGACGAGTGCAGCCAATAGCCATTTTGCACTTTGAAGAAAATACGCTCAAGTGACTTTGCAGGCCTTCGGGAAAAATGTTCTTATGTGCAGAGTTGGATGCCTATAGCCACGGCGCTTTATTGTAGGCGAACTTGGATAGTTTAGTCTAATAGCAAAGAGTACACTGTGGGTATTCTTTGCTAATAGGAAAAGCTTGTTCTGGATGCCAGGCATTGCGGAATAGAGGGCAACGGAAGGCCGCAGGAGTTGGCTTGCGAAGGCAGTGAAGAGAGGAGTTTTCTTGAGACTCAAGCCTTACTCTAGGACTTGCTCCCTTCATTTTCATGGTCAGGATTAAAGACTACTCAATTTCAGGCTCAGTGAGTAACGCGCTTCTGGACTCCCGACAGTCCAGGGCCTTCTTATCAGAATAGAGAGCAGTCCTTACCGGGCACTATACATGGTCAACTACCACCTGCACCAGGATTGGGTGTCTACAGGAGCCCAGGTGCAGATTCTATGGCTTGGTGGATGAGACTACAGAGCATGTGGTCTGCAACTGTGATGCCTTGGTCAGAGACAGGCATCAGCTCCTTGGCGGCGGCTATCTGGAACCGGGGAGATTGAAGCAACTTGAGCTCAACAGGGTTCTATTCTTTATTGAGAGAAACGAGCTCTGAACCTAGTTGCGAAGGAAAGGGGGTAGGCGCAATGGGCCTTTGAGGTACCGGGTCACACCCACTTGTTAAGGCTCCTCTGTGGCATTGTTTAATTTAAACAATGTTTGTAGTCAATCCGCCATATTGGAAAAATAGCTAAACTTTCTTATGAAATTCTGCTTTTGTAGTTGAAGTCTAACAAATTCTCGATAGTGGATATTCTTTGCAATGATGAAAAGAACGGCGGTACTTAAAAAAATTGAAATATCGGTCTTAGTTTGTTAGGAAGATCGATGAATAGAAAAATCGTTTCTCGTAAATAACCGCCGTTGTAATGGGAGTAGAAAAACGTATAGCACCAATTTGGAAATCCGACAGTATTTCTTACGGCGGTACTTAAAGTTATTATTTCCATCTATTATGACAAGGCATATATAGATCAAATCAAATATGACTAAATTACACGTTTGTGTATATTTCCCATCTAAAATTATCAGTTTCCTCAGATAGTCCAGTATGCGGAGCAGTCAGAAGGGCCGATTCCTGCAAAATGTGGTGTAAACGATTTTAACGTTTTAAATGGTCCATTTGGGTCTAAATAACATGTATTTGAAGAGTGCACACCAATTTTTTCCCGGCACAACTTTTGGCAGCCAAAAAACCTCAAAACGTTCGAACTTTTTTCAGTTCAGTTTAAAACTCGAAAACGGTCCATATTTTATGAATAACACTTCTTTAGTAAATTAAAGAAAACAAAATTCTGCGTCGATCAAAAAAAAACAAACAAAATCGGTCCAATAGAAAAATTTTTACAAGCGATCAAAGAACGCCCATTTTTTCCAACTTTTCTAAAGAACTGATTTAACCTTTTTTTAATGTGTTGTGGCTCCTAAAGGAACGATCAAATCCACTACCCCCAGTGGCGGCGAGTAGTGGTGTGTCTTGGGGGTGCACAATTTAAAAATGGGGCCACGGGCAAAAAGCCGGAGGCGAAAATTTTTTGAGTGTCACCGCAACACGAAGTTTTTTGGACCTATTAAATGGCATAAAAAAGCGTATTGATGAGACCTCTAAATACTCCAGGGTTTATTGAATTTTCTCGATTGGCAATGACTGCGGAGAGCAATTAAAGGAAGACAATAATATGCAAAACTGAGGATAGATACATCCTTGGTTTCACTCAAGATCATCTAGCAGTGTGTATTGTTGGTGGTCTAACCAATTGCAATAACACTGAAATACAAATTGACTACAGAGGTGCCTTAACTATTGTTAAAATCATTTCGTTTCATCATTTTTATGGCTAGGTAGTCCCTTCATAGGGAGAGCATCGATTCGAACAGCATTTTACTACAAATCCTTGGTGGTCCAATACAAGAAATCAAACAACCGAGAGTGTTATAAATGTTTTAATGTAATTCACACATAAAATATTAAGAAAATGGGAAAATTCTAATTCAACAAGTAGTATTCAGCTATCGAGTACAATTCTCAAATTTAGGATACAAATACAATTTAATGAGATAATAATAATCAATTTATTTCTCCTCGCACCATTCATTTTCTTTACGCACCTGCTCCTCTTCGGAGGCGGTAAAGTCATTTTTGATATTGAACGTTTTGCGAATCTCCTCTGGCGTCTTCCCCTTAATCATATTGGCGACAGTCTTACACGTTACATCTAACAGTCCCTTGATGTCGAGGTAATTGGCGGCTAGGATCAATTCGAAGAGAGTACCCTGGTCGACTTTCAGAAAGTCGGCGTCCCACGAAGAGATATCGTCGGTGCGTTTTTCTTTATTCTCATCGTCTTCCGGTGGCGGAGGGTCGTCTTTGTGGTACGTGGCCCATTGGATGACTTTCTTTAGAATCGCCGAGTTGACGTTAGGTAGCGGAACGATTTCTTCTTCGTCATCGTCCATTCCTAAATCTTCCAACATGGTTTTAATTGTAACGGAGCATTTCGCTATCTCGACGTCGATTTCGAACGTCTCGCCATCGGAGGATTGCAATTTGATGTTGGGCATCTACAAAAAAGAAAGGTAAATTAGACAATGTTATCAGTAAAATCTGGGTTTTCACCAGGAGCATAATTGCTAATGGGACAATTTGTAGCAAAAGAATTAACAATGCAGTGGATTACCTTTGAAATCTTGCAGAAACACTAAATCAAAATTTGGGTATGCAATAAAGGCAAATAAATATAATCAATAATGGACGTCAACGTGAATGGTGAATTCGGCTTGCGCGTGCGCTCTTTCAAGTTCATGTACTACAATTGCGCATTGCGGTTAAAGTTGGTACCATTTTCAAAAGTTTGCGGGAAAAACGAACATTTAAAAAGTATTGGCGACAAAGGCTAGTGGAATCATTAAAATGAAATGTAAAATGTTTGTTGAATTTAAAATGATCCATTAAATTATAGAATCGACTAACTGTAGTGCAAATTTACCTTTGCAATGTTTTGCCGCGAGCACTTTAGGGCATTACGCAAGCATTTTGAATTTCATGTGCATAGTGCTTCAAGTGATCCAGACTTTAAAGTGCTCTGCAAAGTATCAACGGTGCAAAGACTCTTGTAATTTGTGAAGCAGGGCTACCATAGTTGAGGGCTACATATTTGTCAGTGTATACAATTTTTTTTGAAACCCGAAAAAAAAAGGCAGTGTATAACCTTCCTTTTTTACCAAAAATCGACTGCACCAAAATTTCTCGGGAAAACACTTTTTCTTATTAATTTTGGGGCGTAGAATCCAAAACAATTCGTACTTTTTCGATTAGACTTCTCAATCAAAGGTTATAGACTAGAAACCAATTTCGAAAGAAAATTCAAGGGGCTGTAACTTTTGAATTAATAGCCCAATCTTGGAACTGTTTGAAATTATATGGATTCTACAGGCCACGTTCTATAAGAAAATTGAGACGGACGTGGCTATTAAATGCATAAATTAAAATGTTCTTGGGAAGGTAGATAAGTACGTGGCGACATCTCATTGGAACTGGTTCAACTATTACAAGAAATTATTTTGGAAAAGTATAGGGATTACCAAAGATCCTAAGAATCTTTTGGGCGCTCGGCGATCCCACATCATGAAGACCCGCTCCGGGCAGCTTGAGAAGAAGCGTAGAGGTTCTGGTGCACCCAAGCCTCTGCGGCGGGGCTCAGGGTGACCACTCCAGTATCACACCCTGAGATGGACATCACTGAGCCTCAGTCGAAGTGTATTATGGCTGCATTGAATGCAGTAGTCGACAGGATGGAGGGCCCTTTCCTCGGCTGGCAGGTGTCCGCTGGACTCCGCAGAGTGCCATAGTGGCCGAATGCGAAGACCAGAGGACCTTGGACTGGTTGAAGAGGACTGTCCTTCTTATTAAGCCCTGAGATGGGGCGTCTCTGAAAGTTCAGAGGCACGTCCCTAGAGTAACCAAGGTGATGGCTGTGTTGTACGGGCCCCCGGAGAACACGGCCATCATCTCGAAGCGTTTCCATAGGCAAAATCCTGGTTTCAGGACGAGTCTATGAAGTACGTTCTACCGCAGGGAGGGTTCTCCTCGCATTTGTTGTCGATGAGGCATCCTATCAGGCACTACAGCGGCACATAACTTTCAGTGCAGCTTCCACTGAGCCAGGTAAGGGAGAGAGCTTCGCCGGATCAGCGGGACCCAGTGCCGTTGCGACGAAGGGCGCTCAACCCCATAGTATCGACCTCGAACTTCCGGCGCTCAGAGATCGAGAAAGATTCCGGGTCGATCTGAGCCAATTTTTTTTTGAGGCCCGAAAAAAAGACAGTGTATAACCTTCCATTTTTACCAAAAACCGACTGCAACAAAATTTCTCGGGAAAACACTTTCTCTTATTAATTTTGGTGCGTAGAATCCAAAACAATTCGTACTTTTTCCATCAGACTTCTCAATCAAAAGTTACAGACCAGAAATCAATTTCGAAAGAAAATTCAAAGGGCTGTAACTTTTGAACTAGTAGCCCAATCTTGGAACTGTTTGAAATTAT